CTGGGCACACTGCTGGCTCATGTTCAGCCGGCTGTCGACCACCACCCCCAGGTCTTTCCCCACCAGGCAGCTTTCCAGCCACTCTTCCCCACACCTGTAGCATTGCATGGGGTTGTTGTGACCCAAGGGCAGGACCCGGCACTGAGCCTTGTTGAATACACGTTCAGAGTGTTAGATGCCGCTACAGAATTCTCACCAAGACTGCACAAGCAATCTTAATTCCAATGTACTTAAATGCTAGTGCTTGACTTCTTTGCAAAAAGTGCTGTGGTTTTAAAAAAAAGAATTAGGGAACACCTAAGAAAATGCTTTTTTGGGTGATAGCAGCATATGCAGGGAGCAGCTTTCTGTGAAACACAAATACTTGCACATTCAGAGGCTGTGAATTCTGAGGCTGTAGTGGCTGTGCAATGTTCGCTGGACATACGTGCTGCTTCCCTCAGACTCTGATGGCAGGAGGAATGCGTACTCCCAGGACATTACACTTTGGAAGCACGTAGACTTCTGTTTGTAGCGATAAAGTAAAACTTTCTTCTTGTTCTTGCTACTATTTTAGCAGGAACTCTCACCAGAAAAATAAATTAACCTAAGTTAGGTATTCAACATAGAAAATATTTACAAGCTTTCCAAACAATATATTCTGATTGCCCAACAGAAAAAGAGGACCAAATAATGAAAAAATGGTAGGCAATCAAATACGCGTGGTATTGCCAGCAGAAAACCTAACAATCATCTACAACAAATTGATTATGAACACCTAGTGTTTGCTTTAATAGGATATTGCAATCTGTAGGAGGAAGATGAAGAAGGGCATCAATTGCTTAAACTAACAAACCAAACTGGTGCCAAGTCAGTCATAAAAAAATCCACAGCCGAGAGACAATCTAGAGCTTTAATTCCAGCCTCAGATCGTGAAACTAGTTAAAAGATGGCTATCTCCACTATGGTAAAGTAATTCTTATTTTTCTATTAGTAGAGCATCAAAATGAAGTCTTTGATACATCCAAGTCCTGGGGTGGGTGAGATGTAGTGTTTCAGGGAGATGCTTCGAATTTTCTGCATTCACACGCTACAAAACATTGCCATACACAAAACCCACTTCTAGTAGCGTGGTGGCAGAGGCACCTTCTGTGCCTTGGCTGCTGCAGCAAAGAGTATCTATCTGCACGAAGAGGAAGGCTCTCCAGGTCCCAAGTAAAGATTGCGGAGTGTTTAGAGAAGAGCAGCCGAGTTGCTTGCAGGAAGAAAGGAACAAACGGAACCCACCAACAACACAGTAGCTCCTTCAAGTACTACTACCTCACTGGTTCCCTCCTCTGACCTCCAGCCTTTGCTGCCTTCCCTCTCTTCGCTGTCTTCCTCCCTCCCTCCCTCCAAGTACAGCTGAATTATGGGCAATGCACATGGAAAAAGGAGAAAGTTCCAATGCAGTATTACTGAAATTCCCAGAAAGACTAAGGTAACTGTTTGCACCCACACGCAAGTGCAGAAATCGCTGTGGTTTTGGTTTTTTTGTTCTCTCAAGAGCCACGCTCTCAGTCAGCCCTTTGAAACCAACTAATACATCATACACACGTACAGAAGTTTGGTTTTTTCCTTGCTTACTAACCCTTACCCGCAGGAAAAACCACTGCAGTTATGAGACAGCTAAAATTATCAAAACAATAAAGCAACTACATTCTTGTGATGTGCTGTCTTTTTTATTATTTTGTTTACTTACTCACAGATTCACAAAATTCAGCAGTTGGTAGTGGGTCACCAAGTCACTCATTAGTGCAAATTCATGAAGTTCAACTTTACGACATTCAGCCCTCTTAATTGTCTTTTAGGCAAGCCACACACACTTCCGTTGCCCGGCCTTTGACATTTGGTTTGGGTTTGGGGTTGGTTTTTTTTAAGCTTCCTCCATTCTAACAGCGTAAGTCATCATTTAAGTGGATTTACACTTGAAATTAATTTAACGCTGTATTTGTGAAAATGTTTTTGCAGAAGGTATTTGGTGTAGTATGAAAAACCTTTGAAGTGGTGGAAATTTTTGAAACTCTTACAGAAAGTTCACGTAAGATAGCAGTCTATCGGGCCCGTTGCACGACTGGCGTTACCAAAGCTATGTACAGGTTAACGGCTCCACGGCAAGCTGTGCATATCGAATACAAAGCCTCAAGAGAATCCAATATGTAGAAAAATAAAATTTTGGCAGAATTGAGTTGCTGTATTGGAAAGATACATGAAGAGATACAGCTATTTTTTTCTGCATGTACACTTTTAACAGTGCAATATGATATGTTACAGAAGTGTTTTTAATCATATTCTAAGAAATCATTTTCATGTGTGTACAAAATTCTGTGTAAGTTAAATGTAATGGAATTTACAGTTAATATTTAAAGCATAATACAAACGGTAATTTAAAACATGTTTTTACTCTATAATAAGGAAGCACGGTTTGCTAAAAAGTAGCATTTAATGTAATTCACATGAATAAGGTATTCAATTTTAATTTTTTTTAAAACACATCTTTGCAGTTCAGCAAATGCCCTCAATGCCAACAAAACTAATTTTAAAATGGCTTTCTATTATTGTGCACTTAGGACAAACTTGACCTACCTAAAAGAATGACAGGTTTTAGACATACTTACTTATTTCAGGTACATCTGAATTTCTGTAAGAACTTAAGAGGAATGAGAGTATTTAATACTTGAGAATATTTTTATCTGTGCAAAGCTTACGTAACTTTCATTTTATTTGGGTTTACTAGATCCAGTAACTGAAACTGAACAGGAACACAGAAAGCAGCAAAGTTCACATTACCTTTTGTTTACCCTTATCGCTCAGTTCACATTTATATACTCTACAAAGCTGTAAAAAGGACATCATGGATTGAAAAAGGAAACAAAACAACAACAGCAACAAAAAAGAAACCTGTAAGACACCAGACCAAGGAGAGAATGTGTAATATTTTCTCTTTTATTATTATTTTTCCTTTGAAGATTACCTAACATCCTCGTGGTAATAACCCAAGGTAATATGTAAACAAATTTTAATGCTGCTCAAATTAATTAAAATATTCTGTTCAGCTCCTACGATAAGTCAGACCAGTGGCACCAATTCCTTTCAACATGAAATCACATTCATCTTATTGTACATGACTCTTGTGCAAGTAGTAAAGGCTTTATTCATGACCTTGGCTACATCAGTAGAGAGGGATATATCAGCTATTTATGTATTTAAAAAAATTAAACTGACAGAACAACATATTCTGTCGTCTCAAATACCAGCAGCATCTTTCTACATATTTAGGATACGTTTGGCCTAAGCCTTTAACACCTTTTAGAACAGCCATGCAATAAAACAAACTTGGAGATGTTTCTTAAGAGAGAACACAGAGCAGTTTAAACATTTTTCTGAATAATAAAGCCAAGATAAAGCAAATCCAGGCCCTTTTAGATGGCTGCAACTTTTCATACACTTAAAGCTCTATAAAACTAGAGCCTATTAGTATATATATTTATATTTTTATATATATTTTAAATAAGTCTCTTGTCTGCTTTCAAAATTTATGAGGGGTTTTTCTGGTCTTTTGGAAGGGCAATAAATAAAAGTAGAAAAGGCTGAACTGTTTTGCATATCTTTGTGGAAGAACAGAGAACAATTATACTTTTAGAGTTCCAGAAAGATCACTGTACAGAACAAAAAAGCTTATATACAATTAAGTGTGCAATTTTAGTTGGCTGGGCCTTTTATTATGCAAGATCTCCTTTTCGACTAGAAGCCACTTCTACTCTTGGCCAAATCCCTCTGTTTCTTCAATGGCAAAGAGCAGCTTCTCTTTTAGTTGTTCATAGCTTTTATATGGTGGCAAATCCAAACGATTAAAACTGAGGAGAAAAAAAAAAAAATTTTGTTAAGTTGATCTAAATCCCATGTAGAACACTACAGAATTCGACTGCTACAGTAGAAGCTAAAAATGTTCTGATCAACAATTAGAAATGAAGAAATTGCAATCAGTGCAATCTCACTGCCTTGAGCAGTAAGAACTGACAAAGTTTGAGAGGAATACTTTAAGAAACAAAAGACTGTTATCACATCAGATACAAACCAGAACATTTGGAGACTAAAGACAGCCCAAGATCCAGAGAACTATAATAC